AAAAAAAAAAAAAATTTACATATAAAGGGGCAGCACCTGTGGCTCAAAGGAGTAGGGTGCCAGCCCCATATGCCAAAGGTGGTAGGTTCAAACCCAGCCCCGGCCACAAGCTGCAAAAAAAAAAAAAGAGCTGCAAAAATGTACCTATAAATTAATAATAAAAATGAAATATTTTCTAGAAAACTAGAATGATATCATGAGGAAAATGGAAAAAAGTTATCACAAATTTCATCCTTATAGGCTTTATCTGTATATAAACAGCTTTAAGAAACTTCACAGTTACGTACCACCACAATGCCATCCTGGCCCTACTAAGAGAGCTAGGCCAGAGGCAGAAACTGCAGGAAACTGCCAGCATTAGGCACTAGTCGATAATGTTATTACTTTGTTCTCAAAGCTACTATAAAAAGCAAGCAACCTTCTCCTCCTGCCTCCTTCCCTTTCTGTTTACCTTGTGAAGCAATGTATTCAAATTAAAGTCAGATGGCTAAGAAACACACACGCAGGCTTGGCGCCTGTAGCTCAGCAGCTAGGGAGCCAGCCACATACACTGGAGCTGGTGGGTTCAAATCCAGCCTGGGCCTGCCAAACAACTATGACAACTACAACAAAAAAATAGCAGGGCATTGTGGCAGGCGCCTATAGTCCCAGGTACTTGGGAGGCTGAGGCAAGAGAATGGCTTAAGCCCAAGAGTTTATGGTTGCTGTGAGCTGTGATGCCATAGTACTCTACTGATAGTGACAGCTTAAGACTCTGTCTAAAAAAAAAAAAAAAAGAAAGAAAAAAAGAAAGAAAGAAAGAAAGAAAGAAACACACACACAGTCAAACAAATGCTACTTACCTGGCTGCCCCCATGTTCAGTGTCAATGTATCTCGGCATTGGAAACCTAGAGTGAAGAATCTCCTGTGCATCATCCACTGGGGCTTGCAGAAGGTGGCGGAAATTTTCATATTCTGGCATGTCCTGGTATCCTGACTTCCGCCACTGCGCTATGGTCTAATTTTAAAAAAATAAAGGAAATTATTTTTAATCTCTTGCCCATCTAAAGATCTTAAAAGAAGAA